GCGCTCAAACTTTTGAATGAAAATTGATATTGCTCATTTACATTGCCAAAAGAAAAAGAAACATTAAGCCGATTGTTGCTTGTTTTGTCTGTCTCCTCTTCTCAAACTATTAGACAACTGCCAATATTTGATTATAGATCAAAATAACAAGATCTGTTTGACGTATTTCGTTGTCACATATCTATGCATATCTATAAAATTCAATCTAGCCTGTTTCAGTCTTAATTGGGAAATGTATCAATGGATTTAGATAAAATTAAATCAAATAATTATTTGCAAAATTTAGGAATCTCAGTCTACTAATCTTTCTCTCTCTTGTGTTGGTATCAAAAGTTTCTTGTGATATTGTGTGATATTTGATAAGATAAAGAATAAATAGAAATGTTTATCAATCTAACATGTTTCACTTTTATTAAATCTTCATCAGGGAATGACATATGGAGAAAAAGAAGAAAGACGTTCTGATATTTTTACTTTTCCATTGTTTGATTTTCATTGATCAATCATGTTTTACATGCATTCGACTTGTTTAACCAATGTTAGTATAATTTAAGAATTCAAGGAGAGATGATGCATCTATTCAAAGTTTCAAAAAATTAATGGATACCAAGCCTAACCAAAAAATTGTAAATATTGCTTTATGTATGTAAGTGTATAATAATATTAGTTTGTGGGATTCAGATGACAATGTATATTCGTAAGTGTGTGTGTGTGTATGTCTAGTAGATATTACATTCATTATTTTTTTTTTTTTTGCATTTTGATTTGGGAACATTTTTACGTTCATACCATTTATCATATTTATCATAAAACCCAGGTTGTGTGTGTGTGTGTGTGTGTGTGTGTGTGTGTGTGTCTGTACGTTTATATATTGGATTGGATTTCATACATTTTTCAACCGATTTCAACAAAACTTCACAGGACTACGTAAAATTACTTTGCGGTGGTTCTGACAGTGCCAAAAATTGGAAAAACACAATTGTTTTTGCATGAAATCAATTTGAAAACACAATTAAGAGAATGAAAGGGGGACAACTCATATCGAGTTATACTTATTATAAAACCCAGGTTGTTTGTGTGTGTGTGTGTGTGTGTGTGTGTGTGCGCGTGTGTGTTTATATATGGGATCGGATTTCCTACATTTTTCAACTAATTTTAACAAAACTTCACTTTTTTTTGGCAGATAGTGCTTCTTATTGTCTTGCACACTTTTTTCTTTATTTTTACATTCAGAATGCTTTAAAAATTCCATTTACAAGACAATTGTTTATAATAAAATTCTATTCAATCGGTAGACTCATAACAATTGAAAACAATGTTTTTGTTTGAGTTTGGGTTTGACCAATTTAAAAAAAAAAAAAAAAAACTAATTAAGACATGCGTGTCCGTCAACCTTAAATAATAATCTTTGTCAATTTTATTTTTCAGTCTTTATGATGGTCAATGCTTACTGTTACATACCCGGGCAACGCCAGGCTCTACTGCTAGTATTAGATAAAACCTATGTTAGATTCTTTAAGAATGAGTTCAATAAAGGTTGGTGATGTAATATAATGTGTTTATAGTTAGTAATATTGTTATTATTGATCCCTCAAAGTACTTTCTACATAAAGAGTTATGTTCTTTTATTTTTTTTAATTAGGATAGCATTTGTAAAATCAAAGTGTGATATTTATAAACAACTCAGTGCTTCAAATTATAGAAAAAGCCAAAGGGAGAGAAATTAATGACATTTAAAAAGAGCATCTTAATTGTTCTTTAAGAAATACACTTTTGTCATCATTCAAATTCAGTTATTTCCTGCAGTCATTAAACAGAAAACAAGGATAGAATACGAAAGTTAATCTTTTTTTATATACTATGTTGCTACATGAAGTAGGGGATCATGGCTCTCCACAAGTTCATATTCTTTGAAGCCCTTAGCAATATTTGCTTTTTACTATCCTTCCCACTTCCTGTTCTGCCATTCATTGACACCAGGTTTTTAGGAAGGTTTACTCATTTTTCCCTTTGTCCCTATTGGCTTTCATATGTCATTTGAGTGTCAAAGACTCCTAGCCCTCTTTTCTCAAAAGTTTCAACTGTCTCTTTTTGATTCTAAGTACAAGTGTTCTTTTTGTTTCCATTTTTCTTAAAACTTCCTTGTTGATTATATGCAATATTTATGATATTCTAAGAATCTTTTGTGGAACTATATTGAACATATTTATTGGGCCTCAAACTCAATTCAGACCTTCAAGTGGATCTTGTACACACAGTCCATTAAAACAGATGCTAGAAAAATGGTTGATTCCCTGTACTGCTCCAGTAAAGGCTTGACTTCTCTCGCTATCCTCTATCTTTACAAGAGCCAAATCAGGCCTAAAATGGTGTATTGTTGCCATATATGGCAAGAGTTTCTAGTTTCATTAGAATCCAAAAGAATCTCTGTATCCTTGTAAGTGACAGATTATTTCCCCCCCTCTACAAATCCTTTCTCACAGACAAAATGCCACAACCCTCTTTTTGTTCTATCATTATTTCTATGGAGAGTGATTGGATCAATTACATTACTCAATTCCACAGTTCTAACCTTCACGGCTAGGACCTACCATGTTATGCACATGGTAGTGAACCACACTCTTTCTCTTTGTATTCCATTGGTTCTATTTGAGCACGTTCTTCTCACAGACTTTGTGGAACCAACTCCCAAGAGGATGCTTCCCCAATCACTACAACCATAACCTGTTCAAGTCTGGGGTTAACTGTTATCTTCCCCACCTATTCAAATAAACTAAGCCTCTTATTTTGTAAACCTCTACCTTTTCATTATTTTTAATGAAATTTTCCTGTGTCCTAATATTTTGCTTATCCTTTGGAAGACATCTTTTATTATTCCAGTTCACTTTTGGATTTCTGTGTTACATTCTCTATTATCTATTAAATCACTTCCTAGGAAGGTATTAATTTTATCTTAGTTAAACACAAGGTCATACTTCTAGAGTATAGAGTGATAATTAAACTCACTATCAATGGCTTTTGAAGTAAGCTTGCTATTAAAAAATCATGACTCAGAATATTTTTCTTAATTACATTGACATAGTTTTTGTCTATAGATGATATTTTGCCTACTATAATTGATGCTGATAGGCACTTATCAGTTAAGATTTCTGTATATTAGATAGAATGATTCAACAGTATTTATACATCCCTTGACTATATAAAAATTATACATCCCCTGACTATATAAAATAATATACACTCCTTGACTATATAAAAAATTATACATCCCTTGACTTGGGAAATCACATACAGACAAATATCAGACAGATAAAAATGGCTATGAGATGCTAAAATGCATGCACACACATACACATATTATCAACTGTATAGATAAACTAGAATTGTGATATACAAACACACACATGAATTATATATATGAATGATGCTCGATAGGGCATATGCATGTGAAGTGTGCTTAACTGATGAAAAGCAAACAGTACAAAAATAAAAATACCAAAACTTTCTTTTCTCTATATTTAATTTTCTGATGAAGCTCAAATAAAACCAAAATATATTAAATGTTTTTTATTTGTTCCTAACCTGATCATCCCTTGAATACAGAAATTATTCAGAAACATAGATTAAAGTCATTTACTTTACATATAAGCATTTAACCATGATATCATGTGCTGACTTGTCTGTTAGCTGAAGTATTTCTATACAAAATGAAAGGTCTGTTTTTCAAGCCTGCATAAAGGCAAGGAACTTGTATACTGATTTTTTGTGGGTAGAGGCAGTCAGGCTCTCACTACTGTTGCAATAAAAACTTCCATCTTGTGTTCTATTTGTAATCTGTCTCCTTCTGCATCCCCATCTATTTGACCTTTGCACTGGGCTATTTTTTTTTTGGTCTTGCTGAAATGAAAATGAAACAAAACCCATAAAGCCTGAATACATAAAATCCAATTTTTATGCCATTTTGATTAATATATTAATTAGATGTGTGCATTATGTTATCTGCCTGATGCCTTGTAGCATATAAGGCCTCTAGATGAGATTTCTGTAATCAAATTGTTCCACAAGCTGGGGATGATTGACCCCCATGCCCAAACTCTGCACTCTGAGGAAAGGTTGGTCGTCTGTTATTTTTTGTTTGTGAGAGAGCCCAATCTGCCATGTTAGTTAACTGATAGCTAGAGAAGGAATAGATGGATTCATACCTTTTCCAAGAGTATTTGCATGAGAAGTGAATGCAACAAACTTAATTGAAATTTGAACTCAGCTTGCTGATTTCTCATTCTGAGCCCCTATCCTATACACCACTCACATATCCCAGATATGCACAAAGCGTAATAGTTATTGACATAGAAAGTGGAACTGGTGTACTGAGTTCAAATTTCATCTGAGGCTATTGTGGTAACTTTTGCACAAATAAACTTGTAAAATGCATGAATCTATCTCTTCCCCTAGCTATGGGTTAAATAGCAGGAATGGCAATCAATCTTTCTTCATGCTGGTTTTGAATATATAGTTTTCCCTTGAGACTAGTTGCCAGTTCAAAACAAGAGTGTCCAATCAGCTCTGCTATTTAACCCATAGTTAGGAGGAGAAGAGATGGATTCATATCTATGTACTGCATTATAACAGCAGTGGTGTGCTTATGACAAAAGAACCTGACAGATCCCATATCCTTCTACAGGTTGGTTTGAATTCAGAATTTTCCTTCTCTTAGATTGGTTGCCAGTTCAAAGCAAGAGTGCCCAATAAGCCCCACTATTTAATCTATAGCTATGGAGAGAAGAGATAGATGCATTTCTTTTGCAAGAGTAGTTGTGTGAAAATGAATATAATGAACTCAACCAGAATTTGAACTCAGCTCATCATTTTTTCTCTTTCTGAGTTGCTAACCATTGCACTCTCTGCATAGCCCATAATTAGAGACAGCAAACAATTAGCAACAACAACATCAAGTCTGTTCAAAGAAGGACAGAAAAATTGTTTTAATGATGAAGACTTACGTTTCAGCACAGTCCTTTGTCATCATTTTGTTGCCAGCATTAGAATTTCTGTTTTGGTTGGGATGTTTTGAAATCATTTTTGCATCCAGTGCATTGGTTGCACAGGTATTAGAAGCTGTAAATGTCCTTTGATTAGCCATTGGAATAAGACCTTGTGGACTGGGCCTGGCTGATGGTGTATGAGAATAAAATGTGGCTCTGTGGTTGTTAGGCAGGCCTAAATAGTCTCTTCTGCTTGGAGTCATGTTATTGCTGCTTTCGCCAAGCAGTCTGGGACTGATTCCTGAATAAAACAAACATACGTCAGTCATTATTAATAAAGCAAGGAGGGAAATATCAGCACGTTTTCTCACTTAGAAGATGCATATTTGATATAGGCATCTGCTCAATGCATCCTGATTCCCTAGCTGCAAAGCTCCACCTTTTCATACTTGATCTTTTAATTATTTACCAGTCTAATGAACATGATGCAATATGCAAAATGTTTTTTTTGTTTTTTTTTCAGTTAAAAGGTCTATTAAAGTGGCAAATAAATACAGTAATTATATAATATATACACATGCACACATTTTATTTGTAAATCTTTAAGAGACAATAATTTCTGACTAGATTTCTGTAATCTAATTATTGTTACTTTTTATTGCAACATGCAAGTTGTTTTACATTATTTGAACCTTAAATTAGTAGCAGGGTTTAGAAATAAAGAAATAACCTCTGGTGAAAATTGAACTAATATCCTGTGCCTTTGAAATTCTATCTGACAAGCTAAGCATTGTGATAAAAAAGCAACAAAAATAATATGAAAGATAAACTTGTCTGAAATTAATAATGAAAATGATTTATTGAAGAAACTCAAGCAACTGTAAAAGACATGAGGCTTCTTTATTTAAATACTATCCATTGTAATTCATCTGTAAAACTTGGACCTGTGGTGTCCAGTGTCCTGTCCATTTTAGTGGCACTATGTAATATTTGGATTTTTGTTTTAAAGTACATCATATAGAATAGAAAGGAAAACAATACTATTATCATATATGCAGGTTTCATTATTTCAGTGAGTATCTTTACACTTATTGTTTACAATCTACACTCCCACACTGATGCAAGTGATAAAGATTTTTCTAATGCTGTATATTTTAAGAGTGAAGAGTTGAAAAATAATTTGATTTCATATCTATCTGAGGAAGGTCAAAGCATCCAGCCTTTAAAATGTAGCAACATGGCAAGAATACTAATTCTTGATTCTCCATCAGAGAAGTGTTTCAGATGATTTGCCATCAAACCTTATTTGCAATTGATATTCATATTGTTTCTATTTTAGTACAAACAAGAACAAACTTCAAAAGACCACATTTCTTTTCTCAGCCAGTGCATTACTGATTCAAGACCTGATAAGCACATTTTCTAGAAAAATCTGTTAAAATTTTACAATTTTCGTATTTGAATTTTCTGATGAATCTTACTTAAGTTAATGACTGAATAAGCTAATGATGAATTCTAAAACTATAAAATATCCATAGAAATTCCCATTGCATTGTTAAATATTTGAGCTTAACAACTTTACCAAAATACTGTAATAACAATCATGAAAAAATTTGAAATACACAACTTTTCCATCTAACAGAAGCAGACTTTAAAAAAATCTTTCTTTCTTTCTTATTGAAACTAAGTGGTGTATTTGAAATGTCTTTCCACACAGTCAAAATGGAATAATCCATTATTTATGAGGTATTGACAGGAGATGTTAAAGACTTTTTTCTATTTTTCATTATTTCTTTAATTTTCTCATTGAAACCAATTAGTATCTCTGATATGTTGTTTTCACACAATCAAAATTAAATAGTCTAACATATAATAATTATACAAACCAATGAAAGGAGGGACAAGCAGGATTATAATAGGATACTTCTTTTATGTGCCAAGTCCCAGCAAGACATAGGCAATCATGGCTCTCCACAGCCTCCTGTCTTTGCTGTCTAAAGTAACTTTTGCCCCTTTGCCATCCTTCTTTGTCCTTGTTCTGCCATCCATTCACACAAACTCAGATTCCTCTTTGCTCATCTTGCCTTCAATGTCTTGTGAATATCATGTTCTCCAAGCCTTCTTTTTTCATAATGTGTCCCAATAATATTCGGCTATCAGTTTATTTGCTCTGGCAGATCACATAAACAAAATTGATCTCAGTTAATTCAGATCATGTTATATCAATAATGCAAATTCGTGATCATCTCATCACAAGTTTTATGAAACAAAAACCACAAAACAAAGAAATTTGTGAGAATTTCTTTGAGCTTTTCTTTAAAGGTCAGCCTTGTGATTCTAAATATAAGTTTCCTTGCAGTTCCTATTTTCTTTAAGACTTCCTTATTGCTTACATGCTCTGTCTCAGTATAAGTTGGTAGAATGGCATCTCTTCTTCTTCATCTGTGAAAAGATTGTCTATGCCATGTACAAGATCAGGTAATACATAGCAGTTCAGCAATCTCTTCTTTGTTTCTCATGAAATTTTTGTTTTGAAAATCGATTTTCTTGTTTTTGGTTTCCACAACCAAATCAAATTTGTCGGTCACACATATGTCAAAACGTAGCTTACATTTCATCCTCTTAATGCAAACTTTTGCATACTTATGTAAGGGAAAAATTATTATATTCAAGAATGATACAAGATTCATTTTCAATTAAAATTCTCTCTTGTACGATTGCACAATAAACCTTCTTTAGTTCAGTGACCTGTAAATGTAATTAACTTATACCAGACTTGATTGGGGAAAATTTATTAGGATTTAAAGAAAGGGATGGATTTTTTATTTATTAATCTGACAATTTTTTATTACTTTAGTGGATATTTGTATTTGAGTAGATGTTCTGTTTACTTATTAAGCAATATATTCATTTTCATCTACCAGACTGAACATTTGAGAAATCTTATTAGAGAAAAATATGCGTAGGATTTAAACCCGATGTGCTTTGGACTGCTCAGCTATGGAGTGTGTTGATAACCAAGCAAAATTGAATTGTGTTTTTAAACACAGATTTTTCACTGACTCTCAAAGTAAACATATCTGCTCAGTTTCATATCCTAATGTAAACAAAAAAATTTCTAAAGAAATGGATAGTTTTTTACTTAATCCAAAAGAATTTTATTAATTTAAGCATCATTTATAATACTGACTGCAAGTATAATGCTATTGAAATATCATATATATATATATATATATCATATATTCATATATATATATATATATATATATTTTGCATCTTAAAGACATTTAGCCTTATGACAGTATCATTGAATATTACATTTTGGCATAATTAAAAAACAACCGAATTTAAAAAAAAAAAATATATATATATATATACAAGAAAAAAAAAATTAAAAAATGAAATGAAAGGAAAACAGTTTTTCTTCTCTTTTTTTCATTATTTCTTTAATTTTGATTCATTGAAACCAATTAGTATCTCTGATATGTTGCTGTTTTTCACACAATCAAAATTAAATAGTCTAACATATAATAATTATACAAACCAATGAAAGGAGGGACAAGCAGGATTATAATAGGATAACTTCTTTTATGTCCCAAGTCCCAACAAGACATAGGCAATCATGGCTCTCCACAGCCTCCTGTCTTTGCTGTCTAAAGTAAGTCTTTGCCCCTTTGCCATCCTTCTTTGTCCTTGTTCTGCCATCCATTCACACAAACTCAGATTCCTCTTTGCTCATCTTGCCTTCAATGTCTTGTGAAAAAGTATATATATATATATATATATATATATATATATATATAAAAAGTAGAGCAATATTCTTTATTTTAGGATATTACATTAAAAACATGTCAAAATCGCTATACAATTGCAGTCATGTTTTGATGCACATACAACACATCTCATCAGGCGATTGCAATTTATAATAGCCTGATGAGATGATTTTAGATCAAAAAAAATGAAACATGACTGCAATTATTAATGATTTTAATATAGAAGATTTTGACATGTTTTCTATGTAATATCCTAAAATAAAGTATATATATATATATGTGTGTGTGTGTGTGTGTGTGTGTCTGTGTGTGTGTATAAGGTGTATTTTATTTTTCTTTTGTGATGTTATCTACAACATTGGTTTTGTGTGTTAAAGTATTCATCCAAACAAGTTTGATTAAAAAAAAAAAACATGGTCAGTCTGTTTAATTTTTTTGTATATTTTTCTAATTTTCAGATAAGTTGTAATGTTTTATACTCCAAGTTGTGGATAAACTGTCCAAAGTATGTATTTTGTTATTTTTATTCAAGTACTTTTGACTTTCATGGTCATTATCAAGAACTCTTTGTGGTGTCTGTGTGGCAGTTAGAATTTCTTTGTTTGCTGGTATTCTTTTGGAAGCTGGATGTTTGAAATTGTCTAGTGTGATGTCATCTATAATGGTTATTGATAATGAGGCTGTACAAAAAGAAAGCAATTTATTTATTTTATTTTATCAATTAATTTATTCATTTATTTGTTTTAGTACTAATATAATATGTGCGTACATTAATTATATCATATGCACTTCAAGATACAATTTTCTGTGGTGAATAATATTTTATTCAATGTGGATATTTTATTTTGTATAATAAGAGTTTTGAGTCTTTCTTGCATTGGGTGCTATAAAATATTTTGGTGTTATCTACTAGTTATGTTATGTTTATAGTTACATTTTGGTCATTCTTGATGAGCTGCTCAATGTGTGCATGGATTGCACTGTGTTTCGACATGTGACAGGTCAATCTGTGAGAGAGTGTGGTGCAGAGCTGTTAACTATATATCATATAGATATATTTATAGCTTTTAGAGATATTTATAATTTATATAGATAAAACAAACACCACATAGATGAACAGACACTCACTTGAGGAGTCTGAACATTGGAGATGATATGGTAATCTAATTTAATTTGGTTTATGGTTACCCCTTGTCTTCAGAGAGCCCAGGACATTTTTCCTTGCATACAGTTTTGTCTTTCTTTCATTCTAACCTGAGGAAGAGAATCAAAGAGAGCAGACACTCTTGGTGAAATGGCTTTTTTAATAAATTTTCAACTTTGTCTCATCACTTACGTTTTGGATACTAGTCATGGCTGTCAGATAATTTCTGTAACTATCAGTATTGAGTGAGAAACCAACAAACCTCGTTGTAACACCAAAGATGAACTGAAGGCAAGGATTATGTCAGCATTCACTAATTTAACAAGGAGACCACTCAGAAGAGATGCAGGAGATTCTGAAATCATTTGGTTGAAGCCAATGGTA